AGTAATAATGGCATTATAATGAGATATTCAGGATATATAAGGTATCAATGTGAAATCTTACAAAACTCACATACTACCATGTTGAAATGCAATGATGTCAATGAAAGAGCTGATGCTGCCATTGCGTAGTATGTAGTGTGGTCTAGTTAGTTTCAGGCAAAATTAAAGGAAAACAAAGATATTTAATATTATTTTGTTCTTCAAATCTCCACCCAAACTACTAATATTTCATGTTTCCGTCAAAAAGCCTGCCTGAGCCTTCAAAGGATGAGGTTTTTGAGTGAAAGCACACAAACAGATTGTTAACGTTTGTCAAAAAAGTGAAAGAATTTCTTCTTTTTCGGCTTGTTGGAACTTTAATGCGAAATAAAAAACATTTTCAGAACAACAACCAAATTTCATTTTGTTATCTTTAGCCTTAAGGAATTCTCTCCTAGTTTAGGTGTAACAGCAAGAATGAGTGGAAGGAGAAGAGATGGTATAAGAGTCATGAAGAAATGGAGTGAGAGAGGTCAAGGAGAAGCTAAGATGTCCTAGGCATTAAGGGAAGGACTAAAAAATTCATTTAATTCGTAGCGAATGTCTAGTTTTTGCTTTTTAATGAGCCTCCTTTGAATATACACGATGCACAGCGGAAAAAAAAACTTCTGAAAAAAACAGTTGCAGAATCAGGAAAAGAGACGATTGAAATCATCTTAAAGCTCTCAGTCTCTTTCAGCTTCATTGTCTAGACTCTCTCTTTCTCTCTGTATCTTGTAGACATATTTGGATTCCAAGTGCTTGACAAAATTCTTTTTTTCTCTCTATCTCTTTCCTTCTCTTCCTCTCTGTCTTATTTTTTTTCGGAAGAAAACAAAGGAAGAAAACGTATCTTTTGACATTTCAACAATTGTAGGGTCGAATTTAAAAGAAACAAAAATGTTATTTTGAAATCCGTTGACGGCATTAAAGTTTCTGAAAGTGCAGTCATTTTGCAACAAAAAGCTGGAATGAATCCCCTCTCTCTCTCTCCCTCTGTTTGAATTCCAAACTCTGACAGAGAGGAGGAGAGAAAAAAATGGAAGAAAGAAAGAAAAAAAGAAATTGTGAGAGTGATGGTTTGCCCGAGGGGGATGAAGCGAGGAAATCCTGAAGAAAAGACTGGAAGAATGCGAACAATCGTCAGCTTCATGTTTCAAAACTGAGAATGGTTCAGAGTGTAAACGTCAAGCACAGACACACATCAAAAAGTCCGATGTGCCTGCTTCAAACAGTTAATATTCCGTTTTTTTTTCCATTATAGGTCGCTAGAACAACTTATCTACATCATCGATGACGCACCAAACGTGAATGGGGTGGTGGTGGAGGGGGGATGCTTTTGTAGAAATTTCAGAATGGCTAAAGAATATTTTCGGGGTCAGGGCAGCATCAATGAGCCAATAAATGAGCTTATCCACAAATGGCTCATTACTTCAAGCATCCATCTAGCAATTGCTTCAGGCTTCAATGCAAATTCATTTCTTCAGCACGAAACTTGACAATTGTTTTTTTTTTGGTCTTTTTCTCTCGTTTAAAATGGAAGAACTGTGCTTCGATGAACGATCGCAAAGCCAACGTTTTTTTTATATTTTAAGTATTCGCAAGGCTGAAGCTGAAAGATGAACAGAAACAAACTTTTCATGCATGGCTTTATAAGGGTGTTGGTAAGCAAAAGTGACATGAAGGATATGGTTATCCATATGCACAAAACACTACTGATTACATCAATGAAGATACTGTTCACTATACACAACAATCATCTATTTGCAGCTGCTGTTGCTGATGCTGCTCAAAAGGAAAGATTGATAGAATCATATAGTTAAGAAAAGAAAACACGTTAAACTATGCGTATACATAGAGAGAGAGCTATACTTAACTCAGTCTCCATGTATTGACGTTTTTGCTTCTTCTCTATAACTATCTTTCTCTCTCTCTCTTACTCTTTTTCTTCTTTTCTTCTCTTCCATTCCATCTTCTCTTCCTCTATCTCTCTTTCACTACAAATTCTCTTATCCTTTCATTTTCTCTTCATTTTGCTTTAGGCTATGAATGAGAAGCTGAAAGAAGCCAGAGCACGAGAAACAAGCTAGTCAGAAGCCATATACATCATATAGAGCTCTGTCTTCCAAGAGACACAGACAACCAAAAAGCTCTAGCCTACATCATTCACGCAGTTATTCTGCCCTGAGGCTCTTCCATATCGATCTGGCGCTATTCAACACACATACTAACAATACTATGCGGGAAACCGAATAGATTTGTGTGAAAAGAAGAAAACTAGAAGATTTAAGAATAGAAATTGAGTAAATAACCGAGTATGAGATAAGAGAAATGAAGATTAAATGACAAAATATAAAGTAAGAGAATGAGAGCTCAACCGTGTTGCATGTCTGCATGACGTGAAAATGAAAATGAATTTTCACGTGCGTATGTTAATTTTCGTTCAAGAGGCAAATTTGCATAATTAGCCCAACTGCTTGCACACTATTTCACAAAACAATTTCATGGCCATTCTGCATCTTGACGAACTGAAATTGACGAGAACATGTTGAGTGAAAGCATGTTGTCTGTTTAGAGGAAGATCATTTTGGGTTTGGTTTTTCATCCATATCAATAGATAACACATATCCAGCATTCCTGGATCTTATTATTCATTATAATTATTTAGTATGTTAGGAAAAACTTTTCATTAAAGTGAATATAGATCTTACACTGTTCTGCTTCGTATACCAGATGAAACATTCCGGACTGTTAATTTGAAATTGTCGTAAAGACAGATCATATACGCTGAAGTTTTGACATGAGTCAAAAAAATGGTCGAAAACTAAAACTTTCTAAACAAAATTTGGTAAATTAAAAATTAAAATGAATCAGGAAGTTCTTCTAGCTTAACTTGTATGTATGAGTATCATTCCAATGTGCTCTAAACGATATAGCTGAATTGAAATAGTCTCTTGAGACACATTTTTGCAATTTTTATATTTCTTTTCAATTAAACCATTGCGCCTGTCGTCTTTATGTTTATAGGCAGCAGTATGTATAACATTCAAGTAACTCATTCTTCTTCTTTTCTTCTTGAAATTTCTGGGATCTTTCGAAATGAATTTGCCGTTGGGAACATGAACTCGATCTTCTTTCAGGATATGAGAGAAAAACCGCTTAAGAATCTGAAAGTTGGATTTCAATTGTACAGCTTCTATTATCCGAATGTGCTGCACAAAACTAATTAATACCCAATATGAAATTATAATCGTGAACTTTTGGATGCACAAACAAGCGAAACATACACAAACCGCCGATGGTCGTAAATTGACGATGTGCATCTCGGCCTCACGTCGACCTCACAATAAGATACCGTAACCTCAGAAGGGATGCCGCTTCAAGATTTACACCACCCTCGGCCATTCCTTTTTGTGCTGTTCGTATGAGGATGGATTCTTTTATTCTTTCACATACAGAAACTGACACCGCCTTCTTCTTCTATCCACCACTACGACGTACAGCTTCTCCGTTCCTTCATCCATTCAGAATACAATTCGTGGACATCTTGTTTATATGCTGTTATGAGTTGAGATGTCAACGATAGGCTGACAAGCCTGGCCATGTACACACAGGCTCACAAAAAGATGAAAATATGTCCAGAACTATCGGAACAGATACATAAAATATTCTGAAAATGTCTTCCGAGCGGATATTGCTGGGGTCAAACAGATGCGACAACAAGCTCTTTGAATCAGCTACAACTTTCTTTTGTAAGACAATCACAGACAACCGTTGCTCATATTTGTGGCAGAAGGAGTTAAACCTTCATCTGTTAGTCAGCTTATACAACCATCCGAGCACTCATTTCTTGAATATACCGTAACCACGGTCATACGTGCGCACTCAATGTTAATAAGAAAAATGAAGACAGCGTTATCATATATTCATTTTGAAACAAATCTATTTACACATTATTAAAAGAACAGTCGGATAACGAAATCCACAAATCCTAGTCCTACATGGACACATATACACACGAGTCATACTCTTTGAGAGTACACAAATTGAAAGAAAAAAAAAGATACTCCTAGTACATTGAAAATCGAATTATCAGTCGCTACAAGGTACGGTAGAGAACTCGTCAAGAACAATCGTCTTGATATAAAAAGTTATTAAACAGAGATTTTCTGACAGCACACAATGAGACTAGAATGCTAAGAAACAATTCTAGCGACGCTTGATGAGTATGTGTGTGTGCAAGAAAAATGAATAGTGATGATGTAGGTGTTGGGTTGGAATTGTTGCGCAGGCACAACTGGCGCTAACAAAACACGATGAAACAGTTATTAAAATTGTGTACATGCAGTAAATTCACAAATAGATAAGAATATGATTTTTGAAAAAAAAAGATTGGATTATTCAAGTGAATGAATTTAAGGCAGTCTTATGAGAAAATCTCTGAGCAATGTCAGTATATAAGATAGTGTGGTGAGTGAGTGAGTGTGTGAGATAAAACTAGGAAGGAGCACGTAATTACAAGAAGCTCGTGTGTATATGAATCTCAAAAGGCTTTTTTCAACAAATTTTGCGGATTTTTTTTTTATATTTTTCTTAAAGAAAGGTTTTTGATTGAAAAAAATAGTAAAATTCTGAGATTACTTTCTACAAAGCAAAAGAAGTATATGTTATGTTATTATTAAGAAAACTACCATTCAGGACGAGTAGAAAAGGGTTGGGGGGGGGGGAGTAGGACACAGAATGAGAAACGTACACACAGTATTCAAAACGAAACATCGCAATGTACCGTTTGGAATATAAAACTTAATACCCGGGATTAGTCAGGAGAAGAGAATTCTGATTATTGTCACAGCTTCGCTTGGTTCCAAATAAAAACTAACCAATGTATGGCGATGATGGTATTTGAACTTATTTAAGTTATAGCATTCGTGAGATGTACAGAGATATGTCTGATTAGTCAGACACAGCCTTATGCTCATCCTTTACCGTACATTTTTCTTTCTTCTATCTTTGGCACGTCTGCAAGAAGAATATATATATTATTAATATGGTTGTTTATTCAATATATATTTTATATAAGTCAAGTTCTGGAAATGACAGATTGGTCTTGATTGGCAAACACACACACAGACACCCTCTTCTACCGAACTAATTGTTCAGTCATAAAATGGAGCAATTACACATCGTTTTGTAGGAAAATCTTAGGCCAATCAACCATTTTATGGTCTGCTCATGGACATTTGAGTCCAGTCAAACAGGAACTGTTGGAAGAAACAGTTCTTTTGCCTTAAATTAACACTCCCTAACCATTCATCTACTCTCTCTCTCTCTCTCTTCGTTCTCAATGCAAGTCACAGATTACGGTATTGAACCTTAACCCAAATTTCAAAGCATTTTGTGGTTTTTCAATAGAAACACAGATTACCGTACCTGTTTTGGAACCAAATCTTGATTTGTCTTTCAGTCAGCTGTAATCTCGTTGATAATTCAGCTTTCCGATCAGCTGATACAAAAGCTGACGTATGATATTCCTGTAATAATGACGAATGATTCCGTGTCTCCGTGTATGTTTCAAATTACCTTCTCCAATTCGATTCGTTGGTATTCGTTGTAGACCATACGGTACTTTTCGGCTGTTCGCACTCGAACATCTACAATAATAAAAAATGTAATATTATATCATCTTTACAGTTTACAAAATGAGGCAAAAACTGTTAACGAAAGCCTTTGCGCAACCGTGACAAGCAGATGTCAGCCATATTTTATACTTTATCTTTGAGGACAACGATATCTTTTTTTTGTCCGACTTTAGAAGAGAGGATCTTATCTTCGATGAGCGAGAAAACAAAATCAAAGGACAGGCTTTCGCATCCTTGTAAGCCGCATCATCCCCCCCCCCTTTCTCCCCTATTGCTATCTCGTTAACGTTAACCCTATACTCCCTCTTTATCTGTCAGTCAGAGCATCATATTACCTCCGAGAATGAAAGTTTGTTGTTAACTTTCAATTAGTGAATTCTTTATCTCAACCACACGCTTCTCTTCCCTTAGTCTACACCCGGCGCCTCATACGTCACGAAAGCTGATTCCATATTTATTGATTTGTGATAATCATTTTTATAAATTATCACTTTTCTTTGATTTGTGCCGACGAAAGATTCGATCATTACTGCCATTTCAACGAGAACCAAAAACTATTGGAAGATAAACGCTAAAGACAAGAAGAAGTACCGAGTGCAAGAGCGAACACGCAGAAGTTGCATTGCTAGGCTTTCTTCTCAATCTAATGCAATTTCTTCCTCTTCTCTCTCTATCCATTATCTCTGTATGTTTCATCTTATCAGCACAACCAGTAGCGGCTTCTGTTATCTAGTCAATGATAACTTCCTCTTGCTGCTTCAGAAATCAGATTGGAAAGGGTGAAACATACACAGACATACACCCCTTTCAATCAGAAACACACACGTCTTACCAGATTTACAATTAAATTTTCTTCATCTTTTTAAAAATTCTTATCAAAGGCGCGAACAAAACGAATTAGTAGGCCGTAAATAAGTATGTTAAGCTGCTGTATAATTATACGATTTCACACCAAATTAGGCTGTAAATTTATGAGTAAAGTCAAAAAAATCATGAACCTCGCTCGCTCGTGTCACACACACAGACTGTCATATCGCGGACGGTCTGTTGTCTCGACTCTTATAAAGGTCTTTAACCTTTACGGTCATATCAACTACTCATAAGCTTCATGTTACGAACTACTAACAACTTACTGTTCGTTCCTGGTCCTGTCCTGAATGGCACGGGTGCAACTTTTTCTGATTTTGTGCTTGGCCGCCAATTCGCAAACATCTTAAAGAAGAAAAAATCATCAATGAGAAGATAAAGTCAGCAATGCAATACAACTAGAAGATATGAATTGAGTAACTTACATTTGGTTGATTCATAGGGTTCGCCGGATAAGGCATAGATATGTAATTCGGTCCTAAAAGTTGGCCTTGGAAACTTGCGACAGAAGTTGAGGGTGTCGATGCTGGTGGATCGGGTGGGGGACAATCTTGGAATTGAAAAGCATTCTGGAACATATCATGATTGCAAAATGATGTAAAAATGAAATGACTACCTCGAAACTTTGTTGTTGATAAGATGGAAGCTTTGGGTCATCATAAAACTGAGGATAACATCTATACCAGGGATAAGAAGCTGACGAGTAGAACGAATCCTGCATTCTGAAAAATTAATTTCAAATAAAAATAACAAATAACAAAAATTGAATAAAAAATAAGAAAAAAGAAAATGTGTCACGGCCAATTTCTGATTCAACTGGCTTAACTGACCAGAAATGGCCGCTCTACAGTCTTTCTCCGCCCCTAAACATCCGAGTCGCGCAGTACAGTACGCCGCGCCCAACCTGAAGGGCGAAAAAGGGGCCGAGAGGGATGGGCTTAGAGGACAAAATGTGGGCGGAGCTCTCTCTATCTTTTCTCTTTCTCTCTCTCTTGCTTGCTTTCTTGGGTAGGAAAAATTGAAAAATGAACGAGATCAAGTAAAGTTAAAAGCTGCCTATCAAACGAAAAAATAGATTGAAAACTGAACTCAGTACTTCAAGATTAGGCTGACCTTCCACTAGCTGACCAGTAATTTCCGCTACTGCCAGCCAGTTTATGGAATCGACTCTTACGCTCTTATCTCGTTTTGTTTCCAACTTCTTATGGACCAAATTTATTGGACGGATAAGCCGATTTAAAAACAATTAAAAAAAAGGCGTTCGTGCACCAAACCCAATATACAATTCAAGAACACAAATGACGAATAGCAAACGACTTACCCGATATGTGTGAAATCAGGTAGAAGACCTGAGATGAAAGAGTTTGCAGGTAGAAATGCTGGAACGTTCTGTTGATTTTCTACATTAAACGATTGTTGATTGATGATCAGTTTGCTGTCTCCCATCTATAACAAGTAAATGACAATAGGAATGTATAAATGTCAATGTGGTTGTATCAAGTTCCAAACAACATTCAGCTTATAGATGATGATGAGCAATAATGGAAGAGAGGTAAGAATGCACTTGCGAAATAAAAAAAAACAAAGAGAGTCATCACAGTAGTAGGTAGTAAGAGTAGAAAATTGAGGTGAGCTCAAAGAAATCATTAGAAAGAGAGTAAGAAAGAGAGAGAGAGAGAGGAGGAGGAAGAGGAAGAGAAATGAAAGAGATTACGAAAGACGACGAACAGTTCGCATTAAAATGAAAAATTTTACAAAATTGAAAGAAAAGCTGACCATATGCTGAAATAAATATGGGGCAAAAGCAGTAGCCATAAATGATTGTTAGCCTTTTCTCTTGTCTCTTAATACATTTTCATAGTCTTGACGATGCCTTTTAACAAGGAATGCGATAAGAAATGAAGAGAACAGGAGCAAATGATAGCTTCAAAAAGCTATTTGAGATAGAAACGATACCAGTCCTGTCTCTGCGTCATCTTTACAAAAAGCCATTTATTTGACTAAATAAGTACCTTATAAGGACGTCAACTTTCAAAACATTTCATTATCAACTGTTCTACCTTCTAACACACTTGCATCCTTAAATAATAAACCTTTTTTTCTTTTTTTGATTCGTTGTTGTCCAAAAATATAATCAACGTCAATGCTGCTGACTGCTCGTCTTCTCTAAGTTGAGACTCCTCTCTCTATCATCATATTTACATGCCACCACCTCCCAACAGTATGACACTTCTTTCACTTCTTCACACAGCCACAAAATTGCACAATCTTTACGGCGGCTCATCGTTCTTGAGCTCATTCAAAATATATTTTTGCTTATACTATATAAAGAAGAAAATTGACAAATTTGTCATAAAACTTCAGAACGGTACCAGAGAAGGTCATGACCTAACTCGATACACACCAACTTTCATGAATATTCAAAATAAAATTATAAAAGATGGATGCAGAAGGGACAGCAGAACAAATAGACATTTGACGGCTGTCTTGCCAGAAACTCTGCTGGAGATAACCCAATGCTTTTACCTCTCAATGTCCTCACCTCATCAGGTCATGAACGATAGAGATGCATGGAGAAAGAGAAAGAACATGATACATCAGGCTATGGAGAGCAATCATCTTAAGAATAAAACCAAAAATATCGCGGATAATTCAGAGCAAAAAGGAGAAGAACCTAAGTTATGCTAATGAGTGTATAATCCTTAGAAGGATTTAACATTAAAAAGAAACATAGGATTAGTCTAATAAGACTGTTCAAGTGGTTACAAAAGACAGAGCCGGGTATCGATACTACCTTAAGTTCTCACATCAAACCTCTACCGCCATCTGACTACTCAATATGGTAATTAAGCAAAGCCGTTTGAATCAAGAATGAAGTTAGAACAAGAACATATTAAAACAAGCAAAGAATCATACAAAATTATAAAAAAACATACCGATGGCTTGACATCTTCTCCTACAGCTGGCTTTTCATAATCCGAAAAATGCAGATCGTCCATTGGAGTTGTTCAGGTATGTGGATGACGATATGTGCTAGCTCGTCGTCCAATTGAAATTATCACAATAAATGACTAATCGTTCTTTTTCTAATTTCTTGAAAATATATTTTATCTTCCGAACACTAATGACCCTCCTTCTCCACCAATGGCGATTTGGTGTTGGCGCTCAAGCTGTAAATCAAAAGAGGTAAATCATAAAAATTACGAAAAACGAGGAGAAATGTGAAGAAATTCCAATGCTTATGGGCATCTGAACGTCCATAAAATAATCATAAAATCATTTTTATATAAGCATAGCCCATGGATATTTCGTAAAACATACGAAGACATCATATAAATCGTTTCATGAGGCACGTAAAGACAGAGAACACACGTTTGCAACGAATGAAACATAACTGAACACAATCTCATAGATGTATGAGCCTCTCTATCATATTATCACAAACTAATGAGTAAGGGAGGAAACAGCCAACAAGAAATCGATTAAATGATTTTTTCGCGTCTAATTATTACCGTAAACAAATAATAGGAAACTACAATCGAATGATATTTTTTGATCTCTTTCACTCTCTTCCTCTCTGTCCGTTTCTATTTTCGGACTGATTGAGTCAAACAGTCTTATGTATGAGAGACAGTTGATGTTTGAAATCTCTTCAACTACTCTACTTCTCTTTCTCTCTCTCTCTCGTTCTAGACAGCTCTCCGTCTTAGTGAATGGCAAAATAAGTTTTTCAACTTTGTGGCATTTTTCTCTATCTTAAACTGTTAACCCTTTCAATGACCAAATTTTGATATAGAGAGAGGGCGAACACGACCTCTGGGGCTTGCCGGTGAGATGAAAAGTTTCCACAAGCAATGATTTACGATTTGGGAGCCTGGGCTCCATTCTGGGGTTCCTTTTGCTCTTCGTATTCTATTCTTTTCCATAGTCTCCTTATTTTATTGTTTATCTCATTTGGAAGAGAACACGTGAATGTAGAGAGTGGAGTAAAGGGGGAGAGCTTGCTATATTCAATATTTTAAAAAATAGTACATTCTTCTGTTTAGAAAAATTCTTTAAATGTTGCATTGCTACAGTACGGGTAGGCTACTGTAGCAAAGTGAGAAGAAGAAAATGGAAATAAAAAACTGCATAGAAGCTTGAAGAAGAAGTGCCGGGCGAGAAAAAACGGCTTTAACGACTGTACAGGGAGAGAGAGAGATAGAGAGAAGAGTAGTGGAACCGCGGCCGTTTTCAATACGGTACTGTTTTCAGTTAAATGATCAGTCAAACAATTTTCTTTATGAGACCTAATAAAAGAGTAGAGAAAGAGAGAGGTGCAAAATGATCTTTTTAGTTTTATGAGTGGAAATTGTCTTTGTAAAGATTTATATGAAGCTGGCTTGTTTAGCAATGGATATTGCAGCTTCAAAGAAGTTTTCTTTTGATAAACGAAAGCTGAAGGCGTTAGCGACCTTGTCCTTAGCGGAAAACTGTTATCCAATTAGTTATCTGAGTGTTTTATCAGATATCTTATATGGAGTTACTAATATTTTAAAGTGTAATGGATAGCATATCATAACGATCAGAATAGTATGTCTAGATGAGAGAGGGCAGACATGAGAAAGGAGAGAGATACAGAGAAAGAGGATAGATGGTGATGATTGTCCAATAGAAACGTAGCGGTGTCGGTAAAGTAAAAAGGAAATAAAAGTTAACTAAAAAGGAAAACATATATCATCGCGTTTCATGAGACATGACATTTATGAGCTTAGGCCATAACAGTTCCGATCTTTTGTTAATCAAACTCTCTTAGTCTTTCCTTGTCTTCATCCTCTCTTATTCTTTCCTCCAAGAAAAATAGAAGATTTAATCTGAATAAAAAAAGAAAGAATGAAAGGAGCAAGGAGATCTGATGCTCGTTTAGTTTTTGATTTTTTTGATTCGGTCTAAGTCACGAACTGCTTCCTTCTACTCCCCACATACTACATGATGTACGTGAAACATACATGCAACACCGTGAAACCATCGTCAACGCAAAAATTTGCAGAACATTATTTCTTTGAAAGATAAAAAAGATACTTCTACTTTCTTCTGATAATCTCTTTTCTTATCATTAATTATCAAATTCTTATTGCTTATAATTTTTTTTAGCCGATTCGTTTTTGAGAATCCGTCAACGCTACATGTAGTCCAAGCTTTCCACATCCAAAATCTCTTTTTCTTCATTCATTCCATTATTTTATTACAACGAACTTTATAAAAGAACAATAGGTATGAACCATATATAGAAAGTTATGGATCAGAAGCAGAAATCCTTAATTGTCTGCGACCCGATTCCCAAAGCATCCAGAGCATCTGCTATCAATTCAACAATCATAAAATCTTGTCTGTTCTTCCTTTTATGGCAAGTAGCCAGCTGGCCAAATCAAATCATTTTCTCAACCATTTATTTGTTTATCATCAAAAAATTACAAAGAAAAAACTATTCAAATGCCCACAAAAGTGATAAGAACTGGGATTTTCATATGAAATCAGCCTAACAGGAGCCTGATGACTTCACAAGATGGTTTCTTATAGGGTTTTTATGAACAAAAAAGAAAACATAGATATCGAAACATCCAGCTGGGCTTTTGATCGCATCTTAAACGGTCAGATCTACCACTAATCAATTACAGTAATCCGATCTGTCTATTGTTTCTAGAGCACGTTTGTGGCGGCACATTTCAAAGAGTAAATCAAAACAAAGAGAACTTTAAGACGACTGAGCTATTTTTGTGAAAATAATTTTGGAGGACTATCAAATCTTTATTCATCATTATAAGCAATTAATTAACAATATTCGGGATAAGTTTCCATGTACTGTTTCATCTCTTTCGCCAACCATTCCATAGCTTTATCTAATCCAGCTCCTGTTAAGGCACACGTAGAGAATATTCCCCAATGATGTCCTCGTATAACATCTAAACCCAGACTGGCTGTTATTTCCGCTGATGTCATAGCATCCTTTTCATCCATTTTATTTGCTAATACAAGTATTGGAACTTTTTTTGTATTTATATCCTTGTGGTCTAGTAATATCCATAATTCATCTCGTGCAACAGCCATCCTTAAGCGATCTGAGCTATCAACCTGCAAACGAAATACTTCCTTCTCTACATGTATTAGGTTTTTGAAGTTTTTTTTTTCACCAAAATAGACTCTTTTGTGTGAGCGGTCTAATTATTGGTACAGAATCTTCAACGTATACAATCTGATAGAAAGAACTTACAACAAACATAATGGCATGGCATTTTGAGTAGTACGATTCCCATACAGTTCTATACTTGGCTGAAATGCTTTGATTACATTTATCTCTTCAAACCATTTCCATACATTGCCCTGACATATCGAAAGCGTTGAATAAAAAATTCTCATTGGTAAAAGTGCTCATGGAATATCCAACTGTCGGCACAACATGTGCTGCTCGTGTTTCCGGTGCCTTCAACTGATTCAAAATGGTTGTCTAAAAACGATACGAAGAACGTTTGAGTCAAACATATGAAAATGACTTTTCCTGAGTTATCTAATCCAACAACAATAATGTTCATTTGCTTCCGACCCAGAAAACCAAATAATGATGATAATGATGAAAAGAAGCCCATAATCTGAACATAAATTATCATTATTTGATCTATTATATAATTGATATAGTTAAAGGATCATTACATAAGTGCGGCAATTCATTGCTACCTCAACTATAAAGCACCGCCAAACTCAGTTGATTATAAGTGAAAGTTCATGTGGATAGAGGTGTATGTAAGGCTGTATGACAAGCCTTGTGGAAATAATTTTTTTTGGGGGCGAGAGCTTTTCGTCTAAACACTTTTTACAGTATTAATAAACAATGAAGGGTACCGTCTGTACCGTATCTTGAGCCTGTTGATCGTGGAAAAGTGTCTCAAGATACGGAGAGGTTGTGTTAAGTATTCAAAACGAATGACTGACTGAGCGGAGTTCAATACACTTTATTAACCAAAAGGATCTCATATGGCAATTGGTTTAGTTTGAAAACTTGGAAAGGGAATTTAGCATTGGGGATAGGTGAAAGAAACATTTGTAGGTGGCTACTACATGCCTGTTTCTGAAAAGTTCAAAGTTCTCAATTGTTTTCTAAAATTCAGTTCATATGGTATTCTGCATGGATGTCTAGTTCATACTTTTCGAGACTCCGAATGAAAAGCAGTTTTGTTTTCTAGAAGTTTGCTGTTTTTCTTATTCAGTTTGTTTTTAGATATAGTCAGAGCTCACGAGCCATGCCATATCGATCTTTCGATATCGCCATTCTTTAGTCAATGAAAACATCTGATGGCGGTCCTTTGATCTGACTGATTGTCGCCTTTTTTGTCTCTAAACTCTTACAAAAATCATCAGGTTCAAATTAAAAACTAATCTGTCAATGACGTCATTATATGTGTGACAGTCAGATGGCCTATCAATGCTCATGCTCAACAAATTCACGACCGGCTTCTGACCTTTTGCCATTTGTCATGGCAGTATGAAGATCAAAGAAAATCCGCATTCGTTAGATAATGTTCAGATTGTACATTATAGTTCAGCATAGTTATGCTTAATGAATAAAGAAAGAAGATGATTAAAAGGGGTTTTGAACATTTCTTTAACGGAGGAGAATGCCTGACACAGGTTGTATGGTTTCCACTTGCAACTCACAACTGTTCTGTAGCTGACCCAACCCAAATACCGCACAACATTATAGTGAAAGGAAATGAAGTAAAGTGAAGTAAAGTTCGTTTGCCCTATGATAAGAAATTAATTCAACTTCACTCATACATCCAATCTTTACAACGTTCTGGCGGTTGGTGTCAATTTTCTCAGAATATTATTGCGTAACCTATATACAGGCATAGTTTATGCTAATCCTTACTAAGGAAAGTAAGCCCGCATCGGTTTCCTTTTTGAGAAACTTTTTTTATTACAAAAAAGACAAAAGAAATGAGAAGGATTGTTATTTGAAATGAAGAAAGAAGAAAAAACCGATAAACTGATTCTTTTCCTCGTCTAACCTTTAAAGGGAATAAGCTGGTTTGAAGAAAATAAAAAACAAATTTGAATTATTAAAATTGAATGAGCAACAAGAGTTATAACCATAAGAAAATAACTGAATACAACTTAAATATTCAAGTTAATTGTAAAAGAAGATAATATATTTTATAGAAACTTGAACGCTCTCATGTGCTCGGTGTGACTAGGCTCCCAACACGTAACCATGACGACCAGTACGTGCTGCAGTGAGGTTCCATTAACTTTCTTGGCCACAGACAAAAGACAGAGAGATATAGGGAAGAAAAGAAATAGAGAAAATTATATTTTAATTAAACAATTAATTTCGAAAAACATGAGGGTCTATCTAGTATTCTCAGAAATATAAGAAATAACTTATTAGCTGCTGATTATGAATGATGTTCTATACAAAGACGAATGATCTTATCCCCTTGACAACCAAGTGGATTAAATTTATTTAAAAATCATTGTGACGACACCTTTCCCCAGAAAATGTGAGGAGATAGAGATGGATATTCGTCTTTCAATTTGGAACTATGTTCAGCTTTTTCCTGAACAACCAAAAATATTTTATTAAAGAAAGACCAGGAGTCATGCACAATCATTCCATTTCGATAAAGCATGTTATCCGTTTCTCTCTGATGCATTTGGTACTGAAGATGATTATTTCCATTTTCTTAGCTTACCCAAGAATCTGCACGAATGGACTGACCTATCCATTTCTAGAACATTGAACTATGATTTTCCCGTTTCTCATACGGAAACTTCAGAGTACTGCTCTTCATGTAATCATCAGCTAGTGAGCTTACGGAGGAATTTCGAAAAAAACTAATTACATTGTAATGGCATTAATCTGATTTTCTAGAAACATTAGTTATAGCAGTAAGTTTTGCATTCTTACTATTCCATTTATGTCCTACTCTCTGGAACATGTTTGAATACGCAATCAGCACCCACAAAGTTCAAGCATATCAATAATGTCCTTTAGAAAAAAAGAATCTGGTTCATTTGATTCGAATGTTGTATGGAAGCCAGGGGTTAAGCCTGAAATCGGAAGAAGACTCTGAATTGCAGTTTAGCATGAAATCGACAGATCTCCCTTTTTGCGTAATCCTCTCCCCTTTAGCATATCTCTCGTCTCTGCCTCCCTCTCTGTTACTCAATTTCTTTTCTTCCATCTCTCTTTTATAATCTTCTTTATTTTCTCTCTTTTTACTATTTCTTTTTTTATCTTTCAATCCTTCCCTTTACTAACATCTTTTCATCTCTTTTTAAACTTCCAATCAGAGCCCAGCAAGATGATGATGCCTTCATCGAAGATCTACTAGATTCGGACAATTTGAGTTTCCAGATGCTTCTGGTCTTCGTTAAAGTTCAAACCTACATTTCTATTTCTAGCCTCAACCGCTTATAATTCTATTAATTATTTCAAAAACTGTTTCATTTTTTATAATTTGTTCGCGTTGTTTTAACTTCTTCCATTCTCTCATCCTTCTGTTCTCTGTATTGACTGACTGATGGCACAACGAATGAAGTGAAGAACGATGAGCAAGCTGACTGTCTGGGAAAAAGCTGAGCAAATATCGTGTACAGGCAGGCAGAAGCCGATGTCGAATTTGAAATATTCTGGTTGTCGAAGCATTTTGTTTCTTCAGCCACAACTCTTTTTCACCTTTTCTATTATTAACAAAAAAGATTATATGAATGTCTTTCATCATTTTCATTTTATAACCTGAAACTGAACCTTTCAGTATAAATTTTGAGAATTAAGCTTGATGCTCACCTTGCCGAATGAACTGAATGAAGAGAAACGAGAAAAACCATTCGCATCAAACATACTTTTCTCGTTGCGTCTCAGATAAGTCATTGTTCTCCACATATCAGAAGAGTTTTTTTAAACTTTCTACGTGAACTTTACCTTTTCGTTCGTTTAATCAGGGACGTATGCACTTAAGTTTCTCCAAATGATTCCAAATCCACCCTTTACAGTTTCTACACGTTGTTGTCTGTTGTGTTGCGAAGTGTGAATATGATATGTCCTTCTTCCTAATTCAATTATTGTTCTGAACTTGTTGAATTCATATGCATTCAAATGCCAACCAAATTTTCTTGTCTCCAAGACTTTTTTTCACTTCAATCTATCTCTCAGCAACCGGTCGTCTTCTTTCATCATCAACTTCATCATCTAACATAATCACCTCTTCCACAGCTCTCTTACTATCTCTCTTTCTCTTTCTCTTCCTCTTTACATTCATTTACCTCTATCATTGACTTTTTCTTCTCTCGCATCACAAAATCATTAATTATTGACTTTTCTGACGAATGAATGTTTGGGTCTCTGTCACAATAAGGTATAGCCTCTCTGAAGTACCTTTCGAAATCAATTTGTTAATCCTGAGAATCAAAAAAAATTTAATAAAGTTTTTGATTTTCATATATTCTTTTTACATTTTACTGATCTTGCCGTTCTGTCCTATACGCGCTCTCTCTCTCTCTATCTCTCATTCTCTTCATGCAACCCTCTCTATCTCTCTATTTGAAAAAGAGAAGAAGGAGATGAAGATGAACTGTGAAAAAACTTTTTTCTCTGTCAGTTTACATTTCAATGTATTTTCTATTCTTTTTACACATGTCAATCATTCCTTCACATCATTTGTTTCAAACAGATCATTCTACAATTATTAATTTATTTATTCTCAACATAAAAAGTTTATCAAAAAATTTTACGCTATCCTCTCATTCTTCCTCACGTAATCAAGATTCCTCGTACGTCAATCATGGCGTTTCATCCTCTCTCATCATCGTATGTTTCAGACCAACTCTATAGTCAGTCCTTACATAGTGCTCATTGAACTAAAAGGTGCGTCTCTGTAAAAAAGAATTAAAAATTACATTTCCGTTCTGTTATCACACTTGCGTTATCAGTTTTCGTGACTCAACTCAATTCCTTCAAATTATTTTGATTTGTTTTTTTTTTTACAAAGGAAAGTTCATTTGGGCTTTCTTGAAATATCTCCTGAAGGGAATGTCAGTTTGGGTGTTTATTTTGTATTGAATTACACATTTCATCGTATTTTCCATTGGCATTCATTCGCTTGAAGCTTACATCTTTCCTCTCGAATCTTTTTATTTAAATTTTCCGTTAGAAAAAACTTACTTCTTTCATAGGTAATATGGGAAAGGATTACAAATATGGTCAGCCATATGGCGGATACAACTATTCGCCTGCACCAACAAAGATGGAAATAACCATCAACCAGGTATGCTCATCCTTCCACTTACTGATAATTATTTTTCATTTTTATAGAATCCTGGATCATCAAATGGAGGACAAGCAGCTCCTTATTCTTCTTCTAGACGACCTCAAGCTACTGCTCCCCCTCCACCCATATATCCTGATTGTAATAATCCACCTTATAATCCAATGTAATTACTTTATTCATGTTGTTTCAATTTACCTCCGATGATTCAGGTGGATTGACAGATTCCCTCGGCGTGAGAACCGTGGAATGTTCCGTCTCTGCTTAGTTGAATTGATGTTAGGAAGTAAAACACAGACTTATCCTTCTATTTCTTACTGTTGATGTTGTAGTTGTTATTTTTGGTGGTGGAATATGGTGCTATAATGATACTCCAGACTATTGTCCATATTACTCTGCCATTTGGACATCAGCGTTTTTCATCCTCAATGCCCTGGTATTGATATTTGATATTTGACAGTTTTCATCATCGTTTATTCAGATTGGAAGTGCAGCCGCAAAACTCGGATCGCATAATCTCTACATGGCTCATCTTGTTCTTTCACTTATTACAGTAATGATGTGCTTCATAGGAGGAGGTCTGAGTGCCAGGTAATAGCAATCATTTGATTGTCATGATACTGTACCTGTTCTTCAGAAACTGGGCTCTGGTTGGAACTTATCATCATCCCAGAATTGAGAGAGATGAAGCTTTCTGCCTGCTGGGAACTCATGATACTGGCCGGTGAGTCACAACTCTCGATTCCGGACAGAAGTAAACATCTTTCTTTCAGAATCTCGTACATCTTTTCTCATATGGACAAATACGATTTTTCAAAATGCTTATGGCAACTGAAAGTAGGTGTTGCGGTAAACTCAGTCCAGTTCGTTGTTGACGTTCTTGAAGGTAATGACTTGATTGTTTAGCCAATGAATCATATATCTTTAATTTCAGTCTTATTGAATATTCTTTCCGCAATACTTTGTCTCAAAAGAACTTGCAGCTTCTAAAGTGTTATGGGTCATCACTTCTATGCAATATATAATAATGCCATGATTAAACTTAAAAATAATGAAATGAACGTTTTTTTTATTAAATTTATTGAATTTATTCCCGATCTGCATAGACATTGACATAGATATAGATTGACTTTTTCATGTCGGAATACCCCGAGACGTATCCCATTCCAGTTGAAAACATTATTCCCTAACTTAATAACCAGGTGGTACTGTTGTCATGTTACTATTTTCAAATTCGATAGGCTACAACTCAGAGCTGCGAGACAAGGGGAAAATCAGTTGAAAACCTCTTTGACGATATATGACTTCGGTGCTAGTTGCACATTGAAGATATTCCTTGAAGCCTTTTCATGACCATAGGATTATTATGAATGTTTTCGTCAGAAGGGTTGTTCTATCTATAGATGGCATAACATCATATCGCAATGGTAACCAAAGAACAAAACAAGAAACTGAACTGTTTAATAACAATCAAACAACAAGAATTTGCATAAAAAATAACAAAAATTCTCTGTCTAAAGTGTATTTCATCAGGAATTTGTGAAAAACTAAGCGAACTAAGAAGTTATCTTACTTTAACTTTGATTTATTTTTTGAAGAGCAGCTTCATCGCTTTGAGACATGTTCGTTAACCGTTTTCCAAGCTTCTCATGAACATCTAAGTACTTGGCAACACACCTATCCAAACATACAGCTTCTCCCTTCAAATAAAGTACTGATAAAGTGCAAAAGAAACTCAGCATACCTTAGTTAATTCTCCTTCTCTGAAAGTTTTGGCGATGCATTTGTCTTGGCATGCATTAGTCATCCGACGATACATATCAGACATCATTTCCATCTGCATTCAATAAATCAATTGCGCATACAACAAAGAAAGCTATTACCTCGAGCTCCGCGACGACTTGAAGCTGTTGTTCTGTGGCCATTATTAAACTGAAACTCAAGATATGATAAGAAAATAACAACAATGCTCAAGTAAGAAAAGGTTTGAAACCTTCGTCTTTCAATGAAGGACGATAAGAAAATAGAATTTTTATTTACAAACCCGCTTCACAAGCTGAAGTAGAATATTAGGGACAATCTGCACAAGAGTATATTGAATAGTTAGTTGAATGAGCATCAAATCGAACAGGGATAGACCGAGGTCCATAATATGGCATATAATAATTTGTTCCATCCGAAGGTAGGAGAATTTGCAGAGCAATAAGAACAACATCTGTGATCCATATAATGAATAACCCTCCTAACGAAAACATTTTGAATAATCCTAAAAGCATGAAATGGTCAACTTCAATGAGCAATTCTCACCGATGGCATAATATCCTAAATAGATGCGATCAAGTCCAAAGAATCCTAAGAAAATTGAGAGTAAAAGCGCAGTAGAATGTGGTACATGAGCATCATAAAAACACGAGTTAGGAATCTGAAAAGAAAGAAGATAATTGCAGACACTTAGTTTACAATGAAACGAACTTTTCGAGTGAATATTTGGGTTCCATTTAACTGTCCGATACACGATAACCCAGGAACTGTTTCGCAGACCACTTGAGTTAGGAAATTGTCAAATTGACTAAATAAAACTTCTAACCTATCACCGAATTGTCTGGTTGACAAGATGAGGCTTGTTGGGTCTCTAAACTAATTTCAGGTGGATCGCATTTGTACCTATAACTCGTTAGTCATCGAAACCTTTCTCTGCAATCACTTACTGAAACGGGTTTAGAGAAACGCACTGAGAGAGTTCAGTTTCGTTGATACTTACTTTGGCTATGGAAGCTGAACCATCTGAAGAAAAAAAAACGTATTAGTTGTTGGAAATGTAATTATTACCTATGAAAATAAAAGTAAAGAATAACAATAGTATCCATTTGAAACCACAAGCCTTACCCATGTCTATGCATTATCCTGGAACTTGAAGAATATTGAGGGGATTGAAAACAACGACTAGGTATACACACAATGAAGAAATAGTTAAAGATAAAGTTATGAAGCTTATTATTGAAATTAGCCGACCTTGCTGTCTGCCGCATTGGCCCGCGTAAACAGAGTGCAAGTATCTCTTTGGCACGTTCATTCCTTGTGTCATTTAGAAAAAAAAAGATTTTTATGCTTCGTTGTGAGTTTTGTTAAATCTTCCCATTGCCTGCATGAAACCTTAGGGCAGACTTAATATGGAATAGATAATGAGCATATGTAGCGTTGGCGAAGACAACCGCTCAACTGATAAAATTAATTCGAGAATGAAGTGCTGTGGAACGGATGCGCACGACCGATCCGGTGGCAGAATGAAGTTGAGAATGAAAAGCAGAGTGAACGTGTAAGCCACCGCTCAACTTTTAGAATCATACTGAAAATGAAATCGCTTGAACGTGTGCGATTCATCGCCGAGAGAGGAATTCCGAAGTGATCTTGCACGAGTACACCGTTTCCGCTCATTGGATGCACGTGTCAACTGTTTCCGCTCGTTGCATATGATGGTGTTAAAAATGGAATAGATGTTCCAAGTTCTTTATTCTTTTTATGTGTCCATAAGAAGTATCTCTGACCTGAAAGAATTCCAAGGAACGTTGATTATAGATCATCATGGCTGTGACACGGAAAGGTGTTCATATACTGGCTCGTTCTCTTAATATTCTTCGAGAAGTTCCTCATTTTTCTTATTTCGGCTGATAAAACGAATGTGATAAATTTACTCTTTGATAATTATTGTTTAGACATGGCTTGTCAGTGTCTATTGTTCTCGTAGTAATAGTGAATAACAGTCATAATAAAACGAAACAACTGAGTTGGAACTTGATTAACGAGTACTTGGAAGCTGATAGTTTTAAAGTTATGAAGTAAATTACAATATTAATATTCATTGATTTCAACTTATACTGACTGAACGAAATTTCAAATCGATATGTTACGTGAAACATACAATAAACACCCTAACCGGTCTGCCAGCTGTTTACAAAGTACTTGGGTTATGCGGTAAAATGAAGATTCCAGTCTCTAATAAGGTGATGATATAATGGCATTCTTGTGAAGCGTGATGATAAATGCTTTATTGCTTTATTGAGATTAGCTTTGCGTGATCGGCGACAATAAAGTGAAATAAATGGATTTGGTATATTTTTCCACAGTTACTTGTTCGGGATCCTGTGTTGTTATTTCCAACAATGTTTCGATGCGAATGTCCTTGAGCTCCGAGAGGAGAAGAACCGTTGGTTTTATATCTGTCCTTATATGGAATAAATAGGAATTGGGAAAAAGATGTCAGATTCTCTATTTCTCTATCTATCTCCGTTTCTTCCCTATCTTTCTTATTCTCTCTTTCGTTCTCTTTTTCTACTGCGAAACCATATATTGCCAGAAGAATGGGTCGGAACAGAGAAGAAAGACTACAAAAATGCATTTAATTTGAAAGAGACGTGGGCAGGTCGTTTGAAAAGTCATCGTGAACATCAATGAGAGTGTGGGGCGTGGTAGTGAAGGCTACTGTTTCTCCGGGCCCGATGATCGTTGACGTCGTCGTCGTTCAGCGTGTCTCTACTAACCAGCAGCCCATACAACCCCTCTGAAGACCACACGCCCACATTCTGTACTTCGAAAAGCAGCTTTGCCTTTTACATTTTGACTATTCAGACTAGACGCAACTCATATCGTCACCTGTAGAAGAGAACACTAATTGTATTTTATCCGCGATGGCTAAAGTCGAAGTTCAGATACGGAGCTGCTTTTGCTGCGGCTTATCTCTAGCAACCGTGTTAGTTGCTCTCTACACTCTGGTAAGATTTAAAATCGTATAAAACTTATTTATTATTAATAAATGTTATTGAAAGAATAATATTATAAAAAAAAGGAAAACTTTTGCACATTTGCGGTTTCCAATAAATCGTTGATGAGATGGCGTTGATCAAACCTGTTTCGGTTATAAAGATATCTTATTGTCTCCATTGCCGTACAGCTAATTTATATCCTCTCGAATGATAGATGAAACTCTCGAGATTTGCAGATATTTGTTACTTTCCATATGTTTCTGTTTCTTTTTCTTTCATTATTATACTTCTTGTTGTTTTTTTTCCTCATTCCATCTTGTATTAATCGTTTTATATTATTCAACTTGGTCAACTTAGTCAGATAATTGGCTTTTGGGACTGATTCCAGTCTGTCATCCCTCTGCAATTCTATCTTTCTTTTTCTCATTTTTCCATCCTCTCTTATTCATAATTCCAAAGGTGGACGAAGCAAAAATCCACTTAGCCAACATATTGATGTAAGGAAGAAGACTTGTCTCGATCCGCAACTAATTTCTACCTCGATGAGACACGTGATGTCGTAGGCAAATTTTTGATTTCTCTCCATGTCAAGGACTATCATTCGAGATATTGGAGAATACTGTTTTTCTATTCACAATTTTTCTATTCTGTATGACAGGGATGAAAAACAGTTAAAGATGAAGAACCTGAAATGCTTTACTTAGGATGCGCATTCAAAATTATTTTCTTCTCATATTTCCGAACTTCTAATTGCCTTTTTTACAGATTTTATATTCTCTACTAACTGGATTAGCTGGTTGGGGTTTATCCGATACTGCTGCACATGGAGACTCTTCACACTTCAAAAGTTGCGAGCTTGAAGCTCAAGGAAAAATCACTGCCGGTATGCCAACAACTTTCTCTTGCTATTCTCATTCCACCTATATACAGAAAACCGTAAATTAACATTCCACGGAGGTCATACAACAGTCGTGGTTGAGGATTCTTCATCTTACCATTGCTCACTTGGCTTATATACGGAGGAGTTAAAATATGAAGCTGGACGTGAGTTCTTATATAAAAGGTTCCATTTTTCGATAAAAAATATAATTTTACAGTACGATATACAACATTGGTTGTGAATCTATTTATCTATGTTGGTATGATCTTGGCATCTATCCTTCTGTTAATCGGTATGTTCAGTTCTGTTTTCTTCGTGTTCCCTTTGTTGTTAGACTGTTTTATAATCTTCCTTCATCCTTTTGCTGGATAGATCGCTACCTCGTCTGAAACGAATAGGCTTATATCATATTATTTTTTTTCTTTTTTTCACACTTCTTCACATTGAAAATTCCTCTTATGGCCGCAACACTTGAATGACATTCATTTCCTTTGATGTTTTTGGCAAATTCAGTTGAACGATCATTCTATCCAATAACATCTGAGACAACTTTATTTTGCTTATTCATCACTTTGTTGTTATTGTCATGAATATTCTTTCTTTCCAGGATTAGCCATCTACAATCAATGGCTTCTCGTTCCATGGATCGTTCTTCTAGCCATTGATATCATCCGTGGACTCATATCCGTTTTCTTCATCTTCTTCTTCAGCTATGTAAGTTTTCCAAACTTTTTTTTTCTTGTGTCGCTCAGCTTCCATTTCCCTTCTCTCTCTTATCTCAATATAATTCAAAATTTCTTTCTTTTTTTTTTGAAAAAGAACCCTCCACCCAAATTCTTTTTTACAAAAATATTTTTGATGAAAAAAAAAGTTTTTCGCAAAGGAATGTCTCATGAAATTGAAGAATATATGGGTGTGGCCGATGATGAATCTGTAAACTAACTAAAGACAGCAAACGATTGAAAACCCAAATATGGCCATGAGTATCTGATTCCGGTCTGTATACTTCACACAATTCATATGAATGGCTTAATCTTTATCAAATTCTTCCCCCCCCCATCCCTGCAAAACCATTCATTTGAGGATTCTCACATCATTTCTTCACATTTGACTTTTATGTTGAACGTTCTGCATTGAAAATGAGATGGTTTTGATTTGTTTGAAGGTATGCTTTGAGTGGGATGAAGGCCTTTGGAACCGAATCTAACCATTTGCCTCATTTTGCCTACTTTTTCTCGACTAATTCGATTTACCTCATGACCTTCTCTCTATCAATCTCATTCACTCTCTCTATTGCTGTCAGCCTTTCTGATATCATAAGAAACCTGTGAGAGAAAGAGAAAAATAGAAAAAGCTGAGTCAAACAGGAATACAGCTTTATCAGTTCTTCTGTACCTCAATCAACTTTAATTTGAACAATTATCTCATACATAATTATTACACATAAAAGGCAATGCTAATGAAAAGGAAAAGGGAAAAGTAGTTTTTTGCCTTGTGATGGACATTTAGCTGACAAAAGATGTCGCTGAACTAAATCAGAGGTCAGACGACAGTCAACACAGAAAAAAAATATCTCTAAGAGAAACAAGAAGTTGTCAACAAAAAAACTTGTTCTGTAAAACCACAACGTCCACCAGTCATAATCAGATGCTAATTGTCGGCTTACACGAGGATTCGCAGCCAACACAGAATAAAAAAAAGAAAAAAAAGAAAAACAAGTCGAAACAATTTAAAAAGAAGCTAAATATTATTTCCCTCATCTCTCATCTCCTCTTTCTTTACTTCTTTTGAACTTTTTAAACCGGCTGAATTTCAGGGAAACTTGGCTCGCATTGCAACCGGAATATTCTTCCTCGGATTACAATTCTTCCATGTAAAGCTGTTACCTGTAGCAAACTGACTATAAGCTTGTTCTTTTTGCAGATTTCTCTACTTATGATCATAATTGCCAAGTTCCAACGTATCTACAACCGAAGGAACGGTATTACAATGGAAAATAGACCGGTGAGTTGTCTAAACTCACAATGCCATTCTGACAATACTATGTTCAGTTCGATCAGAGAGCTTATCCAGCTTCTTCAACTTACGCCTATTCCCCAGATCACAGAAGACCAGAATACTATCCAGAATCTGTAAGAGATCATTACGGACCTCCAGCCATACACCATCCACCTCAACAACTTCCATACGAAAATCATGGATATCGTTATTAATTATAGCCAATTAAGCGTTTACATATTCTGAAACATTTCTGTGCTTCTGCGGTTGCGCAAAAACCCCACGGTGCTCAAAACAAATTGCCTTTCTTGCCATTTAAAGGATTGTATTATAAATTTTAAATAGTATATAATAAGCGTTTGTGGCTCACTTAAAATATCCATCATATCATTTTACAAAGAATACAGTCTATGATAGAACTCTGTCTTGCCAAGCCTGGCGCATCCGAGATATTTCGGATGTTCATAAGCATTTCCATTACCTACATATGCATCAGAAGCAGTTTATGAATATTATTTTGAAACTTTTTCGAGAAATCTACTAATAAATGCGTATTATTTACGACGGAATGATCTTGAAAACAAACACAATCTAATTGTTGATAGTGGAAGCAAGGAAGAGTCGCTTTCAATGTACTTAGGGGTGCTAGTTTGTGATCAGTTAGGTGCCATAGTTGAAGCCGATCTGACTATAGGGACTTCAAATATCCATTTCACAGGCCATTGGTTAATTTATATAATTTGCTAACATGATGTGTCATAAGTAGTATGTAGTTCAGATGGCAATCAAATACTTTCATCAGTGATTTCGACAGGATTGTGATGAAGAAGGGCTAAGGTTAGTGTGAAACGCCTATTAGATACAATTACTCTATGCAGATAGATGTTACTTCTGACTGAGAGAGAAGAGAATGAATGAAGTAATTACAGGTTATTTAGCGTTTTATATATTACAGAATTGAATACTTTAGAATCGTAAGTTAAAATATCGCTTAATATATCGTAATAGGATGTGAGCTATGAACGGCCAAGCTATGAAAAACATCAGAAATAGCCAGCTGACCTTTTTGGGAATGACCATGTAGACAGTCTGAAACTAGTAGTTCTTTTTCTCGTTATATTCCTCTTCATAATATAAATACTGATAGTAAATAGTACTATGGAGAGTCTATTGAGATAAACATACAGCTTTCTTCAGTATTTCAACCAAGTGATTGCTTTTCGCCTCAAAAAGTTTAGCTAGCATGTCAACACGTTCAGCAATGATCTGCAAGATTCATATGTGAGGACATCTCAAGTGATTCAGTTCAATACCATTAAGTGTTCCTCTATTGGCACGCTACTCACTGATTTTGATCGAGCCTTCACGTTATCTCGGATTTCATATGAGGAACTTCGTGATCTGCTCAGAAATTAATTACTGAAAGAGAAATGAGTGTTACCTTGTTTCTACATCTTCTTCAACTGCATCAATGTACTCCGAATCCGAAACGATAGAAGACTGAGAGGCAATATCGACTACGTCCAACCAACTATTGTTTTCACCCTTAAAAAGATATGAATAACAACAAAAAATCTGTACCGAAATAAACCCTGCTCATGCGATTTTCCTTCACAGCACCAACGCTTTCAACGACCATAGGCACTCCGATTTTGTAGAATAATGGTGTGAGCCTCTCTTTCAATTCTTGAGCCCAGGGAAACATCCATTGCTGTAAACATTCTGGTCATCCAAGAATTGATTGTTACTTGGGCAAACCTCATCATAATCCCTAATGACTTCTTCAATTTTGATTTGTAATTTCATCACATATCTGGTCATGGCATCATCTGCTGAAAGGTCATCCAAGGAGCTCCAGGCTTCCCTGGAAGGATATATTTTCATATTTGTTTATCAATGATTAGAAGCAAACCATTTGTACTTCTCACGTAAGTTCCAAAAGCCTGGCTTCGGTATATTACAAGAACCTACAGTGGCCTGTTTGAATAGACTGTAGAAAGTTAGCTTTTCCTCGTTCGTTGTCGAGACAGCGCCTGGGATTGACAATGAGAAACGAATGAGAAAAAGGAAACACTACCATCCTTGGGTAAGTTTTGAACAATTTCAACGGCAGCTTGAAATTTGTCCTTCAAACTCGTCATTTTGATGAGTAAAGGACGTATAAGGAGAGGAGCAAACTTGCTAAATTCCACAACGAACCAAAATGAGACGAAAAGAAAACAAATCAATTTATTAGATAATATGTACAATAGTATTACGTAACAGGTTCAATCAATATCATATGATAAGACCAAAACAATAAGAGACTCAACATTTATAATCATTCAATTTTACCCGTGACGGCAGCTAACGCACTCAGGATGTGCTTCTTTTCAACTAAAATTATGTTCATTACCATTTCCCCTCAAACACATTAGGATTCTTACCTCCTGACTCTGCTTGTGAGTAAAGACCATACAACTCATTTCGGCGAAATTTAACTAAGAATTTTTCACAAGTCCTTATACTTCGGCCTTAATTACGGTCAAAGTAAGATGAAAACTATTGTAGAACTCACCAACAAATAAGGTTCGAAGTACAAGAGGTGTGCTGGTTATACTGGTGACAAAAGGAAGAACAGTGGATAGGTAGTGTTGATTGGAACTCTCTACTTTAACACAGAACACATTATTATCCGTTACTTTGACCTAAAAATATGTGTTAATACATTAACTGAAAAATTAACACAACTATGAGCGAGTATCTGACGGCCGCTAATCCAACCTCTCCGTGTATTTCATGTATAGCCTTTGTGAGAGCACCCAGGATTCCAAAAGTTTTATGTTCTTTCTTATCATCATCGTTGTGTATGATCTCAATAAGAAAATAGTGAGCTTTGTGTTTCACCATCTGGAATAGAGTTAAAAATCTAAAAACGTGAGAGGATGCGAAATATGAAAAGGAATGGACGACAACTAGAATCAGAAGATCAGAACTATTTAGGAAACTTTATTAGAGTAAAGGATGATGTTCAACACTGACAAT